GCACCATTATGGACATGTACGGCGCGTCTCGCCCACAGGTAGCTGGCGCCTAATCGCGAGGCAGCACTAATTAGGTGCCAAAATTTGAGGTCACTTCGCACCTCGTCGCGACGCAGCACTAATTAGGTGCTAAAATTTCCAATTCGTACCACTTGAGACACACCCCATAAGTCAGTTATCACTGCGTTCATCGTTCGAATAGGAAAGCAGGGGGAACTTACTGTTGAGCCACTGTCACTCCCTAGAGCCAAGTTTCTCAGGCTTTCCATAGGTCTTCTCGAGCAGCGCGCCTCAGAATTGAGATAAATAGGAATAAACTAGAAAACACTTACTGCTGACTGATTCGTACGTAGTAGAAAAAGGGAACAAACCAGCGTTGGGTTTGGGCGATGATCCACTTGTGGAATGTGCCTTTAAGCCGTAGTTCTGTAGTATCATAAAATCAAAAATTCGAAAGGAGGCTCATTGAGAAGAACCAGTCAATTTTAGGGAATCGACAGACCTTCGCTGGAGATGGTCTCGCGCCGCACGCCCCGGACGTCGTCGCTCCGTTTCTTGTTCTCCGGTCGTCACCTTTACACTGCCAATGGTGAGTACGGTATCACAATTCCATCAGATCGGCGAGTCTGCGCTCCAGTGATTATTCCTTAGGGAGGGTTAAGGGACCTAACAACTTGCTTGGTGGCCGTTCCATCATAGGTTCCGGAAAAGATTCAAAGGGAAAGTGTTCCGCCCACCAACTGAGCTTTCCATCTTTCCAGCGGTAATCATTTCTACTGACTTTTGTACATACAAAGCCTTACAGTCGCTGGCCTTACAATTTCTGGACTACTCCGGTAGTTGTGGAATGCTCGATTGCCTGGGGTGGGATTTGGTACGAAATTTGACCCTGGGTCGTAAACTTTGCCACCTGCCACCTTAGTACTTTTGGGTCACTTTGAAGTATTACAATTTATAACGTATGTATATAATGAAATTTAAGCACCGGACTACTCATCAACAGAGCTGCTTCTGATGCGAAAGGATCCGCTCAAAGCCGGCACGTCCGATATGCTGCGAACGGGGCGCGGAGAGACGCAAACCGATGGTGCTCAATTCGTGAAGCTCACAGAAAACAGAAATGTTTGTTTTTGTTTGTTAACTGACTGTTTTCAACGCCGCAGTTCGCCTTGCGAATGTTTCACAAGAATGCTGGGTTGTGAACAAAACTTTCGCCCCAGGCGGGACTAGAACCCGCACCTCTCGCTTTCCGGGCAAGTGCGCTACAAAAAACGTTGGAGAAGCGTTTTCTCGTGATGTTTTTAAGTCTCTTCATAAACAGTCAAACTTTCTGTAAAGTTCTTAACGTCTCCCCCCCCCCCTCTCCCCTCCCTTCCGAAAGTTGATTTTCATTAGAGACACGATCATATCACACCTGGGAATTCTAGATTTGTTTCGCTGTTATTTGTGTTCAGATTTAACCGTCCCGCATACCTCTTTGGTTTTGGTTCCCGTTTCCGATGCTGAATGTGATTAATTGGAATGTAGATATGATTACCCCCAGTTTTCGAGCATTCTTTCCGTGGTGCTTGAAATAGGTCAGATTCACGTTCTGAGGTCTCTATCATGTCCTTCGAACGCGAGAAGGCGGTGTATTGACCGGCGTAAGCGGCTCACACACGAGTCGTTTGGGCGGTTCTGGACGGAAATCACGTATACCAACCGAACCTTCTTCGTCGGGAATCGAGAGCGTTTACTGATATCGGAGAGATGGATACAAGAGATTTCTACGCCGGCCTGTTCCCAAATTAGCACAACAGCTAAACTAGATTGCCTATTAAGATTCGAAATTAGGAGATAGAATTGCGTGGCGGGCTCTTGAGAGTGAATAAGCAACACCAAATTTCTGTTCAATGCGTCATTGTTTCAAAGATTTCATTAATGTTGGCAATTTTCAGGAGTACTGGCTTTTTCGGGCAGACCGCCCACCGAAATGACCAAGGATCGATGACTCCGGACGTGTGGCTCGAGTAGGGCGCGTCTGTCGGGACGACACGGGCGGGACGTACGTTTCTTCAGTCCCACTAAGTCTTGTACACCAAAAACACCCACTTTTTTAGCGGAAAGCATCAACACGAATGGACGTCGTTCGTGAAGAGTCGACTGGATTGTGCTATTGAGGGCAAAGATCAGGACACACTCTACTTCAATCAGGTAGGCAATTCTGAGCATTCTTGGCGATATGCCAACATTTCTTGACGAAAAGACGCGGTTTTCAGCTCGCCTCAGTGGCGCCTGGTGTGCATTTCGTTTACGGGGCGTTCCGATCTCAACTGGCCGGACTCGGTTCATCGGCCGTCTGCGCCTATTCGCGCAATACTGTGTCACAACGAATGGCAAGTGCCTTTCGAAACAGAAAGTCGGCCTGTCCTAGGGCTAACGACACTTATGAGCACACTTACATACGGAATAATCCGCTCATTTCCACAAGTGAGTCAGCAGTTTTTGCCTCATTACCATATTTAGCTAGGCTTGCCAGAAGCACTTAATGGTAGCGCAGGGCTTATTGCATGGAACACTTTTTCCGATTTCCGATTTTTGAAATAAATACGAATAGAAAAAATGGCGACATTAGGCCCTTGCATTGCACTTTCATTTCTTACACTTTACAAGACTCGAGACTCGCTATCCCTAACGCAAACGTCGTACTCTTCTCTGCCTCTCTGCCACAAGAGCTCGAGCGCAGACGGATGAAGGCTAACGCCCGGGCAGTCCGGAAGAGTTCAATAGAACATTTCTGTCTTTATTGGAGCATCATTTGCCGCGGAAACCGTGGTTTTGTCGTTTGGTTTGTCACCACTAGGACATTGCACTGGTCCAAATGCCCATATCTCCTACCCTTCCCGAGATAGCTTAGTCGAAATTCCCGGCGCATCCCAGAGAAAGGTAGAACCCGTATAAACCGTCGAAGACACGGGACGCGATAAGATCTCCAAAGAAATTCCCTCCCTGAGTGAGGCAGTGGGACTCCTAATCACAGTTGTGGCGAATTAGACGCGCGATATGAAAGCCACTGCCTTCGTTTGACCGCTGCGACCGCTGCCATTCTTATGAATAGTGTCATACATGGCGTCCGCGCCCTTTCTCGTACGACGTGCACTCTCCAGCGACCCTCTCCTCGCAACGCTTTGTCTCTCCGTCGAACCACGATCAAGAAAAAATTTCAGGGTTTTCTATGAACTTTTTGCCTTTTCTCCACAAAATTACTCATCGCATTTCTTGTCAAATTTTTGAAAAAACCACATTGATCGCGACCCGTGCCTTTAAATCAACGATCCTTCGTATTTACAGAGCTCAGCACCTCACCTCTATTTGTACATTACGGAACGGATCGATTTACTGAATTTCTTGTAGAGGAAAATGTTGTTGGTAGGTTTATCTAATAGTTTACCTAGCTCGTCAATGAGTCAACAGAATTTATCGGATTTGTTACAGATTTGGCAGGTCGCCAGAGTACGGTATTCTTCATAGCTACTGATCAGGGGAAAATATTCAAAATTGTCAAAGATATCCA